TCATAGAATCTCTTCATTATTACTAAAAACTTACCTTGATTTTTAGGTAGATTAACAATGTTTGAAAGAGCAGGAGTGTAGGTATGGGTGGGACTGGGTAGTCTGTGATCTCAACCACCCATTCCCCAAGTAGGTTTAACACCAGTGGCACTGGAACATTTTTAAAAGTGGGGTGCTGAAAGACAGACCCTGTCTCTTCTAGATGCAGCACCCATGCTCCTCTGAAGTCTTCCAGCCCATGTTCGCGCTGCTGGCCACCTCCTGCTGACTCTCTTGAGGCTGCAGCCTGCAAGTGATTCTCCCTGCTCTCCTGCCCTCCACATAGCCCTCTCTGAAGAGGGATGCTCCCCTCCCCCCCCCTTAGAGGCTGCCTCCTTCACGGTGGGCAAAGTTCAGACCCAGTGCTGGTCTGCCTGGCCCTGGGGGCCCCATATAATTGCGGGGGCCCTGTTCCAGGACACAGTGTGGTTCATTGTAAATCTACCCCGGGAAGATCACACATATCAAGTTGCACAATAAATGAAAATGATGTTTACATTCATGACTTGCCAAAAGCTATGTCTTAATATACAAACTGCTATGGATTTTTAACTGGCGCAAGCAATGCATCCTTAATTGATAGTCTGACAAGTGATCAAGTATTTTTCAGTAAACCCTTTTTTCAGTATGTACTCTTCAGTCCTACTGGCTTAGAGATAAGGCAAATACTATTCTCTTGATACACTACCAAGTATCTGAACTGGCTGTAACTGTCAAATGAGCACAGCACATGCCCAAAAGTGAACATTATAGACACTAGCACTAACTGTGAAGCTTTATAGATGCTGGCACTTACATATATTTAGACCCAAAATCTTTGTAACACGGTGTACCTGCTGATATGTTGATTCTCTTCTGTACTGGTGTGAAGATGAATTATGGAGCTGGCCCCTTCTCAGTGCCATTGCATTTTGATGAGTCGCGTACCTATTTATTTTATGAGGTGTTTTAGATATTATATTTTTATCAAATTTTCACATTGCTCACAACCAAGACTCTGTTGAGCAAGGTGAGTAAGCACGTGCTTAACTGAATGTCAAAGAGATTATACACATGCTTAAAGCTAAGCAGGTACCTCTAGTACTTTGGTGAATTGGGAAACAAGGAGTTAGTGGTGACTGTTAACTTACCATTTTTCTGAAATGGTCAGCAGGTCTATGATCATAGGCTCCCTGATGAGCAGTATGTACCTATTCCAATTTAACAAGCTCTAAAATGTTGCTTCTGTGATCCACTCACAAATGCTGTCAGTGGTTGGCTAGCATTGGTAGAGTTGCCATTGGACCCAAAACACTCTGGTCATATAGTTTGTTTAGATTGCCTTTTCAAAAGATGCTGCACTGTTGTTTTTTTCCACCCCCCACAGAGTTAAAGACCAAGCTTACAATTTCAAGCCTTGAGGACTGACCTCTACACAACTTTAAGTGAGTGTTGGTTGAGTTAATTACTTTATGCTAATCTCCTGGTGACTAATGTGATCAGAGTAGTTTAGAACACTGATTTTCCTATATTCTGTGCCAATTAAATGTGCGGTGCTTACCATACGTTTTCAAATATTTTGATTGAAAATATGCTATTTCTGGATGAAAACAAATCATAATAGCTATATTTCAGAGATTTGTTTTCATAACAGAAAGCACGTCCTAGCTGTGTCACACTCCCATTTGAAATTGTATTTTAAAAAAGCATTGATAGAGTAGCACAAATAACTGCTGATGAATACCTTTTAGAGTTGTTTATTATTTCTGTGCCACAAATTTTGTGAAAATGAGAGCAGCTGTGTGCACATTTAACTAAGAGGAAAGTCTAGGGCACATCATGATGCAGTTTCTTTGGCTCCAGGATAACAGGATGGGTGATATGACTAGGATGAATATGAATGCAAAGTTAATGATGTGTGAAGCTACAAATAGCCTTGACTGAATATTTGACTACTAAGTATTGAAGAACCCTGCTGAGCTGCATGGGTTTTCCAGCTTTGTACCAAAACAATGCCAAACTGTTTTTGGTCTCTGGCAATTCTCAAAACACTCTCTAAAAGAGGGAGAACATGACAAACGGAAGTCTACAGTAAAATACCCAGACTCCAAATTAGACAGTTCTGGTGATGAAATGCTGCTAGAAGATTTCACCTAGAATAGTGTTCCATTACTGGCCTTTGCAATTTACTAGGTGAAATCCCTGGTCCCATTCAGTCAATGGCAAAGCTCCCAGAGACTTCACTGGGAAGAGGTTTTCAGGCAATTCCTGCAGACTTGGAACCATGATCAAGCAATATTGTGGATTTACCCCTTCTGTGAAAAAGTCACAGAGGGGAAGCCATGTTAGTTTGTAACTTTAAAAACAATGAGTAGTCCTGTGGCATCTTAAAGACTGATAAAAATATATAGAATCATGAGCTTTCATGAGTAAAACCTACTTCATCAGATGAGTTGGAGTATAAATAACAGAAACCGAGATACATATAAACAGCTAAGAAGTACCTGTCAATTGTAAGACCCACGTTAATGAGGCTAATTAAGTGAGCTGGATAAGAACATAAGAACGGCCATACTGGGTCAGACCAACGGTCCATCCAGCCCAGTATCCTGTCTGCTGACAGTGGCCAATGCCAGGTGCCCCAGAGGGAGGGAACACAACAGGTAATCCTCATGTGATCCCACATAACCAGACAAATGGAGTATAGGGACACCATTCCAACCCATCCTGGCTAATAGCCATTGATGGATCTAACTTTCATGAATCTATCTAGCTCTTTTTTGAATGCTGGAAAAGTCTTAAGTCTTCACAACATCATCCGGTAAGGAGTTCCATAGGTTGACTGTGCGCTCACTGAAGAAAAACTTCCATTTGTTTATTTTAAACCTGCTGCCTATTATTTTCATTTCATGACCCCTAGTTCTTTTATTGTGGAAATAAGTAAATATTTTTTCTTGATTCACTTTTTCCATACTAGTCATGATTTCATAGACCTCTATCATATCCCCCCTTTAATCTCCTCTTTTCTAAAATGAAAAGTCTAAGTCTTTTTAATCTGTCTTCATGTGGGACCCATTCTAAACCCTTAATCATTTTTGTTGCCCTTTTCTGAACTTTTTCCAATACCAATATATCTTTTCTGAGATGAGGCGACCACATCTGTATGCAGTGTTTAAGATGTGGGCGTACCATGGTTTTATATAGAGGCAATAAGATATTTTTCTTATTCTCTATCTCTTTTTTAATGATTCCTAACATTCAGTTTGCTTTTTTGACTGCTGCTGGATACTGAGTAGATGTTTTCAGGGAACTAACCACTATGACTCCAATTACAGTACTGCAGTCTCTGTAATTGGCTGATGAAATTCCCTTGTAAAAGTATGGCTAATTTTAAATCCATGAATGAGTGCTCAAGTTAAAATGTTCCCCTTCAGATTTATGTATGTTGCCATTTCTGATGTGTGGTTTGTGTCCATTAATCCTTTGTTGTAGACTGTGTCCAGTATGGCCAATATACATGGCAGAAGAGCATTGTTGGCACCTGATGGCATATATCACATTAGAAGATATGCAGTTGTATGAGCCCCTGAACTTGTGGTTTATGTGGTTAGGGCCTGTGATGGTATTGCTTGTATAGATAATGTGAACAGAGATAATAAAAGGTTTGTTGCAGAAGTAGGTTCCTAGGTGAGTGTGTCTGAGATGTGATATGTGGCTGCCAAAAAAAATTGCTTCAGGTTGCAGGGTTGTCTGTAGGTAAGGATTGGTAAACTGCTCCCAAGGCCTGTGAGAATGAGGAATCGTTTTCCAGGATAGGTTGTAGATTGCCAATTATACACTGGAGGAGTTTAAGCTGGGTCTGTAGGTTATGACCAGTGTTGTTCTGTTATTTTCCTTGTTGGGCCTGTCCTGAAGCAGGTGATTTCTGGGTACTTCTCTGGCTCTGTCAATCTGTTTCCTCACTTCCCCACGTGGGTATTTAAGTTTTAAGAATACCTGATAAAGATCTTGTAGGTGTTTATCTGTGGGATTGGAACAAATCTGGTTGTACTTTAGGGCTTGGCTGTAGACAATGTATCCGTGAAAATTTTGGTAGCTTCATGATGTAGGGTGCTGGCATCTCTTCAAGGAAAATAGTTTGCAAGTCACAACAACCTTCATCCTGCTGGATGTAATCTGTATTTAATGCTTTGTCAACTTCCCTTGTACTTTAGTCTCAGTATCCAGTACCAAAGATGATGATTATGTTAAAAGATGTCACCAGAACTTTGATTTCAGTGCAGTGAAAGTTATGTAGGTAAAAATGTCATCACATTCATGACCACATGCATTCAATACTCACAACATTATAGGTGATTATTCTGCCTATCATGCATAAAACATAATATATTATTTTTGATAGGTGCTATGTAAAGCAATCTCTTGCTGCCTGGACAAAAGAAACGGGTATCCAAGCAGGTGCTCAAGCTAACTTGTTGTGCAAAAGGGCAATGGTTATGCTGTGCACCAAAATCTTCCCTTTCCAATTGGAAATAATATGGCTCTGACTGGAGGAATATGATATTGATAATGAACACCTGTTGCCAGCTCATTCGCAGACATGGCTGATACCCTTTTGGCACAAAGTTTTTATGATGCTGGAGCAAGTTTGCCAAAAGTACCTAAGGGTTATGGAGCACAAACGGCACTTGCTTTCTGTGTTCCTTGTGTTCTTAGATGCCTTAATACTTTTAAAATATTCCCCTATTGCCTTCAGGGAATTGCCTGGTAGCCTGTTTGTTACCTGACTCTACAGCAGTGGTTTTCAAACTACGGGTCGTGTCCCTGTACTGGGTTGTGGAATGTCAGGCACTGAGTCTCATTGCTGTAGGGGGATTAGGTGACCAGAAGCAGCTGGCAGCAGGCTCAGCTCTTACATGGGGTGGGGAGTATACAGGGCTCCATGCACTGCCCTTGACCTGAGCACTAGTTCTGCACTCCCATTAGCTAGGATTCTACTGCTGGCTGCTTCCTGCTGCTGGGGAACAGCACGGTCTGCAATGACAGGAGAGGCAGGAAGCCTGCCTTAGCACCCCCACTGTACCGCTGACCGGGAGCTGCTCAAGGTAAGCCTCTCCTGCCCCAGCCCTGACATCCCAAAGCTGGAGCCCCCTCCTATGCCCCATCCTCATCCTCTGCCCCATCCTAAAGTGCACACTCTAGTCAAATTATGTTGGGCATCAACAATTTTTTTCAACTGGGTCATGAAAAAAAACTTTGAAAACCACCACTGTACAGTATATTCTACATTAAATTGTTTGGTTCTTAGCAACATCATTCATGGATGTGCATGCCTGTCCTTAGCTGTGAAGAGGGATATTTATTGTTAATTTTGATCTTGACATGGTCTGAGTGAGTCTGGTGTAAGTTATGCAGATCATTGTTTTTCCATTACAATGTAAGAGTTTTGTATTGAAATTTCTTATTATAACATTTGGCTTTGACTTGTTGCTGTTGAATTTTATCCAGTAACTTATGTTGTGCTATTTGTGCAAAGAATACGCATATAGAATTGAAGTAAGAACATATTTATTTATGTCTCTATGATTAAAGAGAGAATGGAACATCTATCACCACTGGACAGTGAATCAATTGCTTTACAAAGTTGGTGGGACAGATTTACTATGGAGGAGTGCATTAGATGGTTTAATATTGACTACTATGTGTATCTGAAGGATGTGAAACAAGTTTCTAGAAAGTTGGAGATAGAAGTGCACAAGTCTAATATATCGACACATGAAAATGCATTACCAAAGAATTGCAGAGAAAGGATTATATGAGTGGAGAGGAATATTGCACAGGTAATCGGAAGGGTGTATCAGGGAATCCTGTCAGCAGTGAATTACTCCTCCATATACGCTGCAATTATGTGATGGCTTCAAGGTAAATGAAGGAACCTCTCTTGTGGTAGAGTATCATTGGCTATGTAACAATTGACCCAACAATGTTTATGCAAGCCTGCATGCAAGTAAAGTGCACTATGAATGATGATGCTATCATTATCAATCACCTTCAGACTTTCTAAGAGATATGCTTTAGCTCCAACAGAAGTTATGACTCTGCAGGAATTCCTGGGTGAGGTTCTTTGGCCTGAGTTATGTAGGAGGTCAAGCGAGATGATCATAATGGTCCTTTCTGGCCATAAAGGGTGAGATACTTATGGGGGTTGGTGTCAGCAGATGCTTAATTGACATTCAGGCTCAGGCTTGAACCCAAGATCTCAGCCTCTATAAGATGAGAGGCTCCCACAGCTTGGACACCAGCCACAGCCCAAATGTCTACACATCAATTACACAAGCCCCTAATCTGAGCCCTGCAAGACCAAGTCAGCTGTCATGGGTAAGCTATGGGTGTCTAACTGCAATGTAGACGTACCCCGAATCTGTGAATCAATATATCTATTATAATGAACTGTGAAGACCTGTCTCAGGGGTAAAATATGAGTTGCATATTGTGGTATGGATCCTTGCTGAGCCTCATGGCTTGTTATTTTCATAAACTGCTGTGAGAGAAAATTACTTCTTTTTTGTGTAATAGCAAATGACAACTTGTGAATGGTGGGGTAAATATTGTTAAGATATTTAAGCACTTAGCTTGATTTGCAAATGTAAACATCCATAATTTCTACTGAAGTCAATGGAAAATGCAGATATGTAGTACCTATGAACACCTGGCCAATCAATGTTAGTAGGCATATATTTCTAGAGATTAAACTGTAGTGTAATCCCATAATTAAAGTTAAGAACCCCAGCCAGATTAGGTATCTTGAATGGCACATAGAAAATTTATTGGGGCAGAAATCTATGAAGCAGATTTAGAGGATTATTTTATTTTATTTTGTGACACTGAGCAACATAAAATGAAGAAATAGTAGCCTATTTTTTCTAGTAATGTATGCACATGCTCCAAACTAAAACACTACATACCACCAAAGAAAGAGATGGGGTGACTAGAACTGCATACAGTCTTCAAGTTGGGAAGATACCATGGATTTATGTAGAGATATTATGGCATTTATTTTCTTATTAAGTATCCCTTTCCTAATTGATCTTAGCATTCATAGAATCATAGAATACTAGGACTGAAAGGGACCTCGAAAGGTCATCAAGTCCAGTCCCCTGCCCCCATGGCAGGACCAAATACTGTCTAGACCATCCCTGATAGACATTTATCTAACCAACTCTTAAATATCTCCACAGATGGAGATTCCACAACCTCCCTAGGCAATTTATTCCAGTGTCTGACTACCCTGACAGTTAGGAACTTTTTCCTAATGTCCAATCTAACCCTCCCTTGCTGCAGTTTAAGCCCATTGCTTCTTGTTCTATCCTCAGAGGCCAAGATGAACACGTTTTCTCCCTCCTCCTTATGACACCCTTTTAGATATCTGAAAACTGCTATCATGTCCCCCCTCAATCTTCTCTTTTCTAAACTAAACAAACCCAATTCCTTCAGCCTTCCCTCATAGGTCATGTTCTCTTGACCTTTAATCATTCTCGTTGCTCTTCTCTGGACCCTCTCCATTTTGTGCCCAAAACTGAACACAATACTCCAATTGAGGTCTAACCAGAGCAGAGTAGAGTGGAAGAATGACTTCTTGTGTCTTGCTCACAACACACCTGTTAATGCATCCCAGAATCATGTTTGCTTTCTTCGCAACAGCATCACACTTCTGACTCATATTCAACTTGTGGTCCACTATAACCCCTAGATCCCTTTCTGCCGTACTCCTTCCCAGACCATCGCTTCCCATTCTGTATGTATGAAACCGATTGTTCCTTCCTAAGTGGAGCACTTTGCATTTATCTTTATTAAACTTCATCCTATTTACCTCAGACCATTTCTCAAATTTGTCCAATTTGAATTATGACCCTATCCTCCAGATTAGTCACAACCCCTCCCAGCTTGGTATCATTCTCTTATCTTTTTTGATTGCTACTGCACATTGAACAGATGTTTTCAGAGAATAATCACAATGACTCCAAAATTGTTTGCTTGCATGGTAACTGCTAATTAGGTCGCACAATTTTGTTTGTATAGTTGTGATTATAGTTTCCAATGTGCATTACTTTTCGTTTATAAACACTGAATTACATTTGACATTTTGATTCTCAGTCACTTCATTTTATAAGGTCCCTTTGTAACTCTTTACAAGAATTTTGGAAATAATTACCAATAATTACCTCATTTGAGAACTATTTAATCTGCAGACTTTGCCACCTCATTCTTTTCCTTCTTTTAAGATCATTTATGAATATAACCAACAATACTGGTCCCTGTATAGATATCTAGTGGATATTGTTATTTAGATTTCTCCTTTCTGAAAAATGCCAACCCTGTGTTGACAATCTTATAAAGAATTACTGATCCATGAGAGGACCTGCCCTTTTATCCCATGACAGCTTACTTTGCTTTACACTATTTGGTGAGAGACTATGTCAAAGGCTTTCTGAAACTCCAAACACAATATATTCACTGGACCACCCTCGTTCACATGTTTCTTGAATCCCTCAAAGAATACTAGTAGAGTTGTGAGGCATGGTTTCCCTTTAGAAAGTCATGGTGACTCTACCTGAACAAGTTATGTTCATCTATGTGTCTGATAATTCTGTTCTTTACTGTAGTTTCAAGAAATTTGCCTAGCACTGAAGTCAGTCTTAAGAGCCTGTAATTGTCAGGATCACCTCTGGAGCCTTTTCAAAAAAATTGTCATCACATTAGCTATCCTCTAGTCATCTGATACAGAAGATGATTTAAGTGAAAGGGCACATACCACGGTCGGTATTTCTCAATTTCGTATTTGAGTTCCTTCCGAAATTTTGCATAAATGCCATTGGTCCTAGTGACTTATTAATGTTTAACTATTTGTTCTAAAACCTCCTCTATTGACACCTCAGGCTGGGACAGTTTCTTAGATTTGTCACCTAAAAATAATGGCTCAGGTATGGGATCTGCCTCATTTCCTCTGCAGTGGAGGGTTGCCAGGCCTCTAGTTTTTTTTACCAGAATACCCAGTCAAAAACGGTACCTGGGAGGCTCCAGTGAGCATTGGGCCATTCAGAGTTCTGTCAGTGGTGCTGTGGGGCTAATGCAGGCTATTCCTTACCTGTCCTGGCTCCATGTGTTGCTCTGGATGTAGCCAGCTCCTAGGTGGGATCCAGGGGAGGGCAGACAGCTCCATATTCTGCCTTCACCCAAGCACTGGCTTTGCACTCCCATTGCCTGGAGTCCATAGCCAATGGGAGCTATGGGAGTGGTGCTTGAGGGAAAAACCAGAGTGCAGATTCCCCATCTAGAAGCCACACCTGCCATCCACTTCCAAGGCATAGCACCATGTCAGGATAGACAGGGAGCCTGTCTTAGCCGCACTGTGTCACTGACTTAGAGCCAACTGAGGTAAGCCTGCCCCAGCTTTCATACCCCATCCCAGAGCTGTCACCCTCTCCTGTATCCCAACTCTCTGACCCAGCTCTCAGTCCCCTCCTTCATTCTGAATCCCTTATTTCTGGCCCCACTCTGGAGCTTCACATCCAGTTAGAACCTCATGCCACACCACACCCCAAACTCCTTCCCCAGCTGAAGGAAAGTGAGTGAGTGAGGGTGGGGTGGAGACCTAGCCACTGTGGGAGGGAGGAGGTAGTGGGTGTGAGTCAAGGCCTCAGGGAAGGGCAGAGCTAGTGTGTTTGGTTTTGGTTAAGTAGAAAGTTGGCAACCCTACTGCAGTACAGTAAGAAATTCCCATTTGCATAATACAATGGATTTGTCACCCAGCAGCGGATGCCTTCCCTGGGTTCTAGCTGCAGACAGTCTTTGCACACCTGTGGCAAGTTCAGTATCGTGCTTTATAAACATGTTTTCCCAAATCATACGGTTTTTCCCAAGTCTTTACCTACCACCAAGACTTAAGGCATAGGATCTTGTACATCAAATGTCTCTCCTTCCCCCCCCCCTTTTTTAATTATTTCTAGCTCATTAACTAATTAATAGGGTTCCTCAGCTTATCACTTAGTACTTAAACTATTGTTTCAGCAATTTATCTCCTGTAGGGATACTACAGACATGCACAGAATGGGATGTCAGCCTTAGGCTACTCTCACTATGTCACAGAGATAATAAGGCTGTATTAGAAGCTGAACACATCAGAGTACAATACACCCGCCTGCCTGTCATTTCCTCATTTAACCTCTTAAGAAAGCACTTACATATAAGCTTAAGTTAATGGAACTTCATTGGGACTTAAGCACATGATAGACAAACACCTGTCAGGGATGGACTAGATGGTGCTTGGTCCTGACATGAGTACAGAGGATTGGACTTGATGACTTCTTGAGGTTCCTTCCAGTTCTATGATTCTATTAAACTAGGGGGCTGCACCCACTACTCGCTTCGCTCGCCAATCCCCCTCTCTCTGGCCACTTTTACAGCCAGAGAGCCTGATGATATCTTTCTGTCACATGGCAGGAAAAACTTTTTATATGTAGGGAGAGATACATTCTATGAAATTCTATGCTTAACATTAAGGAGATGCTTGATAACTTGCTTGAATAAGAGTCTATTTTCTTAAAAATGGACTTTTAAGATGGATAGCTACTATAATCATTTTTTATCTACCTATTTAATCAAAATTATTTTGGAATAGATACTTTTAAAGTGCATGATTTGTCTTTTTTAAATGGATTTAGCAGAGACGTCTCTCAGAATCTGCTTAAGATAAACAAATGGAACACTAAGGAAGCAGTGACCTTATTTATTGATGGCAATTTACTATTTCATTGTATTGAAATATAAATAATTCTTAATGAATTTTACTGTTAAGCTGCAATTTAAATGTAATGATTAATAATTAGACTTTAATACTTTCTCTTTATAGGGACTATAATTTTCCCAGTTATCGCACAAGACAAAATACCTGTTTGATGCTTTCTAGGCACCATTTTGGACATCACCATATGGAAAGAAAGTATGGTACGCAGGGGAAGAAGGCCCTGAGTCAACACAGCTAAAATTAAAGTTAATTTCCATAGAAATGAAGATGGATTTCAACATATGCTTAAAGTTAAAAATGTGAATAATGCTTTGTTAGATCAGGGCCTAAGAAAATAGGTGAGTACATGATCTTTGCCAACATACTGAGTCTGCATATGGTTCTGATGTATTTATTCCAACACTCACTGTCACAGTTAAAAGCATGGGCAAGAGCTGCAGGATTGGAAGCAAATGCTACTCCATACTCCAATGCCATGTAATGGTAAGGAAGCCTATAACAAACTAATATTACATAAGAACATAAGAACGGCCATACTGGGTCAGACCAAAAGTCCATCCAGCCCAGTATCCAGTCTGCCGACAGTGGCCAATGTCAGGTGCCCCAGAGGGAGTGAACCAAACAGGTAATGATCAAGTGATCTCTCTCCTGCCATTCATCTCCACACTCTGACAAAACACAGGCTAGGGACACAATTCCTTACCCATCCTGGATAATAGCCATTAATGGACTTAACCTCCATGAATGTATCTAGTTCTCTTTTAAACCCTGTTATAGTCCTAGCCTTCACAATCTCCTCAGGCAAGGAGTTCCACAAGTTGACTGTACACTATGTGAAGAAGAACTTCTTGTTATATATTTTAAACCTGCTGTCCATTAATTTCATTTAGTGGCCCTAGTTCTTATTGTGGAAATAAGTAAATAGCTTTTCCTTACTCACTTTTTCCACACCAGTCATGATTTTATACTCCTCTATCATATCCCACCTTTGACTTTTCATCTTAGAAAAGAGAAGACTAAGTCTTTTTAATCTCTCCTCATATGGGACCCATTCCAAACCCCTAATCATTTTAGTTGTTCTTCTCTGAACCTTTTCTAATGCCAGTATATCTTTTTTCAGATGAGGAGACCACATCTGTATGCAGTATTCAAGATGTGGATGTACCATGGATTTATATAAGGGCAATAAGATATTCTTCCTCTTATTCGCTATCCCTTTTTTAATGATTCCTAGCATCCTGTTTGATTTTTTTGACTGCCACTGCACACTGCGTAGACGTCTTCAGAGAACTATCCATGATGACTCCAAGATCTCTTTCCTGATTAATTATAGCTAAATTAGCCCCCATGATATTATATATATAGTTGGGGTTATTTTTTCCAATGTGCATTACTTTACATTTATCCACATTAAATTTCATTTGCCATTTTATTGTCCAATCACTTCGTTTGAGATCTTTTTGAAGTTCTTCACAGTCTGCTTTGGTCTTAACTATCTTCAGCATTTTAGTATCATCTGCAAATTTTGCCACCTCACTGTTTACCCTTTTCTCCAGATAATTTATGAATAAGTTAAATAGGATTGGTCCCAGGACTGACCCTTGAGAAACACCACTAGATACCCCTCTGCATTCTGAAAATTTACAATTTATTCCTACCCTTTGTTTCCTGTTTTTTAAACAGTTATCAATCCATGAGAGGACCTTTCCTCTTATCCCATGACAACTTAATTTACATAAGAGCCTTTGCTGAGGGATCTTGTCAAAGGCTTTCTGGAAATCTAAGTACACTATATCTACTGGATCCCCCTTGTCCATATGTTTGTTGACCCCTTCAAAGAACTCTAATAGATTTATAAGACATGATTTCCCTTTACAGAAACCATGTTGACTTTTGCCCAACAAATATGTTCTTCTATGTGTCTGACAATTTTATTCTTTACTATTGTTTCAACTAATTTGCCCTGTACTGACATTAGACTAACTGGACTGTAATTGCCGTTAGAGACCTTTTTAAATATTGGCATTACATTAGCTATCTTCCAGTCATTGGGTACAGAAGCTGATTTAAAGGATAGGTTACAAATCATAGTTAATAGTTCCACAATTTCGTATTTGAGTTCTTTCAGAACTCTTGGGTGAATGCCATCTGATCCTGGTGACTTGTTACTGTGAAGTTTATCAATTAATTACAAAACCTCGTATAATGACACTTCAATCTGTTACAATTCCTCAGATTTGTCACCTACAAAGGACAGGTCAGGTTTCAGAATCTCCCTAATATTCTCAGCCGTGAAGACTGAAGCAAAGAATTCATTTAATTTTTACACAATGACTTTATCATCTTTATGTGCTCCTTTTGTATCTTGATCGTCCAGGGGCCCCATTGGTTGTTTAGCAGGCTTCCTGCTTCTGATGTATTTAAAAACATTTTGTTATTACCTTTTGAGTTTTTGGCTAGCTATTCTTCAAACTCTGTTTTGGCTTTTCTTATTACATTTTTATACTTAACTTGGCAGTGTTTATGCTCTCCTTTCTATTTACCTCACTAGAATTTGACTTCCACTTTTTAAAAGATGCCTTTTTATCTCTCTGCTTCTTTTACATGGTTGTTAAACTCTTCTTTAGTTCTTTTAGTGTGATTTTTAATTTGGCGGTATACATTTAAGTTGGGCCTCTATTATGGTGTCTTACTAAAGTGTCCATGCATCTTGCAGGGGTTTTACTTTCTGTTTAACTAACCTCCTCATTTTTGCATAGTTCCCCTTTCTGAAATTAAATGCCACAGAGTTGAGCTGCTGAGATGTTCTTCCCACCAGAGGAATGTTAAATGTTATTATATTATGGTCACTATTTCCAAGTGGTCCTGTTATAGTAACCTCTTGGACCAGATCCTGCTCTCCACGCAGGACTAATTCAGGAATTGCCTCTCCCCTTAGATGATGACATTATGTACCTAGAGCTATAAGATCCTGGCATTTTGTACTTCTTAGGCTCTATGCTTTTGAAATAGGCCCTCCTCTCAAACAAGTAGAGGGGAAGAGAGGCTCCTTTCCAAGGAGGAATGATGATATTTATTCAAAAGCTGTGAGCTGACATCTAAGTACTATGACACTGAGCTATTGTAAATGTTTATTATAATGGAAATAGTGAGCAGGTGTTGTAGCCCCAATTCAGGAAAGGATTTCTATGCAGGCAGAAAGAGTAAGCCCTGGCTTAACCATTAATCAAGGCAATGGACAATCAAGTACTTTAGGCCTACTTCCGATCTCAAACCAGATCAACCCAAATGTTGCTTTACATACCACCAATTTACACAAAATCAAGAGAAAAGTGAATTAGACATAGTAATGTAATATGCATAACAACTTTTTCATTGCATGACTCTTGAACGTTTATCTGTTTAAATATAGGGGTTCCTTTATTTTGGTTTTATTTTAATTGAATTATAATATGAACATGATTCCTTCAGAACTGCATCACAAGAGAAGACTGAAAAGTTTGCAAGCACAGCAAACGTGACTGAATTCATCAAGGTGACATACTCATGAGTAAGATTAAATGGCTATCCCATTGGTTCACAGATTGCTAATATCATGTTCCAATCTAGATCAGAAAGGAAACAGACACAGTTATTGATTTTTCCTGCAGGACTATAATTGCTACTAGTCTCTTTGTAGCCCATATTGTGCAGCAGCAATGATTCTCTATCACACATCCCACAGATTTCTAATGAATTCTTTAATGGAGATTTGATTTTTTTAAAAATGATACCCTTATTCTCTGCATTATTTTAAACTGTTTCTAACATAAAAAACTCGTGTTTAAAAAATAATAGTTATTTGCCTGGCAAATTGGGAGAAATACATCAGATTAACACAATCCTACCTGCTATTTTTACTCTGTCTTCCTTGCTAAGTGCAAGCAACTTCCTATTGTAGCCCATTCACTAAGGCCCTGGCTTCCTGCTGGCTGATCCCTGTCTGTGTCCTCACTTGGTCAGGCTACACTAGGAAAAAGAGTGTTCTTATAACATGACCATTAATGCTTCATAAAATCCTTATGTAGATGGTGCAATGGGGCAGTCTGTCCTCGATTAGCCTAGCCATGTTGAACATTAGATGGAAACCTTGTGGAGAGAATAAGATTTACCTTGACCTAAACACACACAGGATTCTCCCTCCAGTTGCTGCTCTAGGCCATTGTGGCTCTGGGCCCCAGAAGTGAGGGCAGGGTGATCATGTCTCCTCTGGTCTCAATGCTCCTGTTGCTGGAGCCTGTGCTACTGAGGAGGAGGAAGCAGCCTGCTCTGAACGCAGAGAGGTGAGGAATGGGCAGGGGACTTAAGGAGAAGAGGTTCAAGGAGAAAGAGGGTGGGGACAAGCAGCACAGGAGAGGGTACAATAGCCAGATGTGGGGGAAAGAGGAGGGAGAGAGGAGTTGGAGGGAGCATTAGATGGGAGTGAGATAGGAACTGAGGCAAAGTGATGAATAAAAACATAGGGTGGTATAGGAGCAGAAAAGGAGGCAACAGGAACTGGAAAGAAAGAGGGTGGAAGTAGAAGGAAAGATGAACAGAGGCAGAATTGTGGGGAGGGACAAGGATAAATCACCAGGGCCAGGAACTGAACCAGAAATCCTGAGTCTTAGGAGTCCTCTGCTGTCTGCAAATACCTACAAGGCGGGTCTTATTCCACACCCGTGCACCCCCTATACAGGCTGCCTGCCCCATATAGAGGACTGCCATACACTGCCTTCTATTACTGACAGTGCTGTGGAACTAATTGTCCAAATCCTGCTAATGATTCTGGGGGTCACTATGGTTCCAGGTGGTGGAATTTCTGTTTTTAATATTTTTAAAAATTTTTTGAATTGATAATGAAAAAATAGTATGTGACCATATAATTAAAGATGATCATAATGCATCTGCATGACGGGACTGAATTGGGGTCCCCAGGCAAGCTTCAAAGTTAGTCTGGGTATGTCTACACTACAAAGTTAGTTCGAACTAATGGATGTTAGTTCGAACTAACTTTCATAGGCGCTACACTAGCGCTCCATTAGTTCGAATTTAATTCGAACTAATGGAGCGCTTAGTTCAAACTAGGTAATCCTCATTCCACGAGGATTAAGCCTAGTTCGAACTAACTAGTTCGAATTAAGGGGTGTGTAGACCCTTAATTCGAACTAGTGGGAGGCTAGCCCTCCCCAGGTTTCCCTGGTGGCCACTCTGGCCAACACCAGGGAAACT